ACACACACACACACACACACACACACACACACACACACACACACACAGACCGCCTGGTAGTGTCAGTCGTCTCAGACACGCTGAACGCCGTCTGCTCGAATCCTCCCACCGATCGCCTGATCGTCACCGTTTCTGTAATTCGAACCAGCAGCTTCTTCTTGTCTCGATTTACATCATTAAAGCTTCTAATTTAATCACCAAATTCAAGTCAGGCTGTTCGGATCTCATCCGGGCCCGCGGTTCTGAGAACCTTCTGTTTGAGCGGTCCTTTTATGACTTCATCATCCAGTTTTTCCTCCTCCTCAGACGTGCGGCTGGAAGAGTTCGTGTACGAGAAGCTGGAGAAGAAGGCCCCGACGCGAGTGAACAACCACGACCTGCTGGGCCAGTCCATGATCGAGTCGGGGAACGATTTTGGACCTGGTACCGCCTACGGTGAGTGCAGAACCCGACACCTGCGGACTCCGTCCTGATCGATACACCCCCGACTCTGAATCTGTTTTTAAAAACTACAAAAATGAGTAACTACAACCTCAAAAATCCTCCTTCTCACCAACGTGCAGTATTTCTGTCTCTTCTTTCAGCCGAGTGGCTTTTAAGTACACAGAAGTACACAGATGTTCTCAGGGGTATTCAGATTTATTTACACGTACATAGTTCCAGATTACAAGAAAAAAGCAGCTTAAATCCACTTTAAACAGAGAAACCAGTAATTCCCTCTGAGCAGACGCTCGTCTACAGTGGGAAGCAACCCAGTTTCCACGAAGCCAGATTTTTCATCCCAAACGCCGACCGTAATTAAAACGTGTCGGCCTGTTGGAGCTCAGAGTACGTGTTGTGGAACACTCTCAGCCACTTCCACACCGAATTTTAGCTCAGCGTCTGTAAAACTGACCGACTTGCAGCCGTTTGTGTTTACCAAGGTTGCTGCGCTGTGGCGGCCATCTTGAATCAGGCAGCTGTAGACGCACAGCCAGTCATCACTTCCTGGGAGTTTCATTAAAACCCATCCACTGGTTCACAAGATATTTTGCTAACAGACACAGGCAACTTGCTTCTGGTTCTGGTTATTTATTGACAGCAGCGTCTGTTTAATCCCTGGATCCTACAACGAAACACTTTTTTTTTTTTCTTCCTCCTTTCATTTTTAAAGATGACAGAAATACGTCGCGGCGACGGAGAAGCACCGGACAACCTCGCGGCGAGGTCTGGTTGTCACGACGACCAGCAACCGCTGATGTCGACCCCTGGGTGGTTTATTACAATGTCCCCGTTACCTAGCAACAAGCAACCTCCCTGTCTTATCACGTCGGGCTAAATTTGTCCATAACTTTTTCTCTGAATCCCATCAGAACAGAAAACTAGAACGAAGAGGCAAAGTAAATCAGTAAATATTTGTTTATTTATTTAAATCCGTCCAGAGGACCTGACTTAACTTTGTTAGATGTTTCTACCTGGATTATTGTCCATGCGTCAGAACAGTAAATGTCGTGTTTCTTCGTTTTAAAACCGTCAGTGTTCACACATCTGTGCCACTTCCTGCATGTGTCCAGTTCTTCACTTTTTCTGTCTGTCCAAGCAGCTCTCACTGTAAACGAGTCTTTGAGGCTCAATGTGACGCATCTGTTTAAATAAAGGTTGAACGAATGAAAGATGTCGTCGTGACTTTCTCCTGACTCCGCGCGTCGGGAGCCGGTTCTGTTCAGGTCTCGGTAGATTCACCCGGTTGTTCGCGGACTGTTACAGGAAACGCTCTGATAAAGTGCGGCGAGACGCAGAAGCAGATCGGCGGCGCGGAGCGCGAGTTCATCCAGAGCTCCGCCCTCAACTTCCTGACGCCCTTCCGAAACTTCCTGGAGGGCGACTTTAAAACCATCCTGGTGAGTCGGACTGTCGGCCGATGTTCTAAAACCTGTAATCTCCTCCAGATTTGTAATCTGCCCTTGAACCTAATGCACCCCCATACCATCAGAGAGGCAGGCTTTAGAATTAACTCTTCCTCTGTGGCGCTCGTGGTTTCAGTTCTCCGCCTCAGTCCACTTTAAATGAGCTCTGGTGAAGAGAAGGTGTTCACATGTGGCTTCTTCTTTGCCTGATAGAGCTTTAATCAGAGTTGGTGGCTGAGCTGTGTTTACAGACACTGAAGCCGTTCGTTTGTATCAGTTGTGTTCAGAGAGAAACCCGTCGAATGAAAAAACACGGTTTTTATTAATTTGCAACAACAAAAAAAAGACTGAAATTAGCTAAAAAAAAATTAAATAAATCGGCAAACAATAGCTGAAAACTAGCTGAAATAGCAGAAAAAGCTGAAAGTAGCAGAAATAAGTTGAAAGGAGCATGACAAGCTGAAATTAGCTGAAGTGGAAATTATCTGAAAAAAGCAGAAATTTGCTGAATAGTAGCTAAAAAAGGGCAGAAAGAAGCTTAAATAACCAGAAGGAAGAGCCCGTTTTTGCTGAATTAGGCTGAAAAAAGTTGAAATAAGTGCAAAAAATGTGGAATTAGCAGAGAAAGCTAAAATTAGCACGAAACAGCTAAATAGTAGCTGAAATAGCAGAAAAAGAATAAACTTGCAGAAATAAGCTGAAAGGAGCAAAACAAGCTGAAATTAGTAGAAAAGTTAGAAGAAGCACAAAAATGTTGTAGTTAGCAGAAATAATCTGAAAGGAGTGCAAAACAGCTGAAAAAATCAGCTGAAAGTAGCTGAAAAATGTTTAAATTTGCAGAAGGAAGCTGAAGCAGAACAAAAAGTGAAAGCAGCAGTAAAAGGTTTAAACAGATCTAAAGATGTGAAGGATGGAAAATGAGCTCGGTTCATTTTCTATGAGAAAAAAATGTCAGAAAAGGCTAAATATAAAAAAAAAAAAAAAAAAAAAAAAAGCTGAAGTTGCACCAAAACCGAAAGTCACAGCAGGATTGAACGAGCTGAACGTTTCGATTCATGATTTGTTGACATGGATCGAAAACTGCGCCAAAAACATACGGAATAAAAATGGATCACAATAGTGTGAACTTCATAAACAGGCACACTATTAAAAGCCCGGCTGTTTGAAAACTGAACTTTTTCCAAAGAAACGTTTTAATGCCTTCATTTTTTATATTTTTTTCACGTCGTTCAGAAAGAGCGGAAGCTGCTGCAGGTCAAACGTCTGGATCTGGACGCAGCTAAAACCAGGTTAAAGAAAGCCAGGATGCCCGACGCCAGAGCTGCAGTGAGTACACACACACACACACACACCATAACACACACACACACACACCATAACACACACACACACACCATAACACACACACACCATAACACAATGTGTGTGTGTTTACTGTTTTAGGACCTTTTCAGGTGTAAGCGCTTCCCGTAGTCCTTATGGCTATTTAACTAAACTGCTCAGGGCCAAGACGTGCAGCAGTTATTGTCATTAATTGTTTGTTTGATGATTTAAAATGTATTTTTATTTAAAAATGGACCCGTGGGCCCTCAGTCGAACGTCTCTGCATCATGGAGTTAATTTACCGCCTGTAAGGAGAGAAATGTGAACGTGCGGATGTGACTAACGGTTATTTGTTGCGTTTAACTTCATTGAACTCTTCGGGGATGTTCGTATATTTCTGTTTAACGAGTTGCACGACACGAGAGTTTCCGTTTAATTTCCCGTGACTTGTGTCTCATGAGCAGCACGGGAAGTTTTGCGCTTCCTCTTCTTCTGGTGTCGCACCGTCACGTTCATCTTTTCTTCGTCTCTTCTGCAGCTTTGTGACGCGTTCACGTTTGAACCCTCCCCAGCTCTTTAGCAGAAGTTTAACCCTCGAGCCGCTCCTGGAGGAAACTCCGTCGTTTGGAAAATACCAGTTGAGAGTTTTTGTCGTTCTTTAAAGCCATTTCTGCTCAGCCTGAAAATAAATATAATTTAAATTATTTAATTTTTTAAATGTTTTAGCTCCCTACAGACCTTCTGTACTTAAAAAAAAAAAAGTTAATATCTTTATTTTAGAGCAATTTTTGAATAAAAATGTGCTACGAATGAACATCCAAGTTTCACTTTTTGAATGGAATTACTGAAATAAATCAACTTTTTCACGTTATTCTAATTTTACGAGCAGCACCTGTATTTTAAAAGTACTTTTACATCACTTTGTGATTTATAAGTGTATTAAGTGCAGGATCATTTGTCATTTAATGAGTAGATCCCACACCGGGGTCAGCCGAGCCTCGTCATCCTCCTCACACATCACATCGTTCACAAAAGCGCAGGAACTTATGCGCGGTGCAAAACTTTAATTATGTTTGTGGTTTTTGATAAAATTGCCCGTGACTTTGAACTTTTAGGGGCGGAGATGTTTTTTTAAGAGCAGAAGCAGAAATGCGAAGGACAGCGCACCTCCTCCTGTCCTGCCTGCTCCAGACCCAACGGGCGCACGCGTCCAACAGAAACTGAAATTACCACTTGTGTATGTTCACCCGCGTCAAGAGTGAGTCATTGACACACGTGGTGGAGAGAATCTGGTGATTTTTCAAAATAAAAGGTTTTTTTCTGTGGTCCCGGTATAAATTGACCCGGTGGTTGGGGACCCCTGCTCTACAGGATGGCGTTTTAGGAAAAGCAGACGAGGCCCAGTTTTCAGTCAAGCCGTAGAGCCGCCAGCGTGCGTGCATGTGCATCTTCTGTTTTATACCAAGAGTTCATTCTTTATATTCTGTTGTGTATTATTATATTACAGCGTCCCTCGAAGGTGAGAGCAGACGACCGGCTGGCGGGTTAATATGAAAATCACACGTGGAGGGATAGAAGTGAAACAGCAAAACATTTCTCAAAGAAACATCATTTTATCTATGAATGTGGCATCAAAGGAGCATTTATAAAGGGATTTCAATGGGTCACGTTATTTCCCCCGGAGGAACACTAGAGGGCGGCAAAGTGACTGGGAGTTTACGGGAGCGTTTAAAATAGTTCTGACAAAGTCAAAAAAACGTTCAGAAGATTTTTCGGATCAGTCACATTCATTAACGCCAAAAATAAATAAATTTGCACACGATAATCGAAGCGTAGCTGGGTTAAGGAGCGACTTCCTGTTTTTAACGACATGCGTTTGTATAAACTTCTTTCATTTTTGGTCAGCAAATGTAGAAGTTCCAAATGTTTATATTTATTCCTTTTTATGTCCCACAAAGGAAGTGATCTTGTAATTTCCTAGGTGTGCGTTTGTCCTTCTGTTAGCAAAATATCTCGGGGAATCTCCGAACAGATGTTGGAACTCGTAGCGCACTTTCGTTACGTCTGCGGCTGATTTAACTTTTTAGAGTCGAGCTGATTCAAGATGGCCGCTGCAGCTAACTGACCTTAGCGAAAACGGCAACAAGGCTGCGATTTTCAGAGCCACGATGTGACGTGGTTGTAGCCGAGGAGGCGTTGTGCAGGTCGGCACCAGCTCGGTTTCAGTCCTTCACTGATGATGTCATCAGGTTCGGTCGTAAGAGACCCGACGGATGAGACGCGCCGTGAGAACGTGTTGTTTGTTGTGTCGGCTGCGCAGCAGCTGCAGCTCTAACTTCTGTGTCACTGTTTTCTAAAACGCAAAGCCGCAGATGTGAGCGGAGGAAGTGGCCGAGGTGAGTGGAACGTTGGAGCCATCTTCCATTTGATTATGGTTTAACTGGTCTGTTGTGGTCTAACTGGTATTTGGATGGATAAATATCGTAATTTTCCTCTAAAATAAACGCACTAAAGTCCGATTCTTGGTCGTCAGGCCGAGCAGGAGCTGAGGATGACCCAGAGTGAGTTTGACCGACAGGCAGAGATCACCCGCCTGCTGCTGGAGGGCGTCGGCAGCACCCACGTACGTAGCTCTAACGAGGAGTTTTGTTTGATGTGTACTCTCGGCCGAGACGTTTCTCCTGCGTTGCCAGGCGCACCACCTGCGCTGCTTGAACGACTTTGTGGAGGCCCAGACGACGTACTACGCACAGTGTTACCAGTACATGGTGGACCTCCAGAAGCAGCTCGGCAGGTGGGTTCTCTTCGAGTCCTGCTCCGGATGTTTCACCTTCGGTTTGCAGCAACTCTGATCCTCTTCCCAGTTTCCCCTCGACGTTCTCCAACAACAACCAGTCTTCGGTGTCGGGCGGGGCCAGCGTCTCGGTGCCCACCATCCCGGTGTCGGCCTCCCTGCCCGGCGTGTCGGCGGGCCGGGCCGCCTCGTCGGGGGGCTTCAACGAGCTGCGCAGCTCCAACGGCAGCCGCAAAGCCCGAGTTCTATACGACTACGACGCTGCCAGCAGCAGCGAGCTCTCCCTGCTGGCTGACGAGGTGAGCGGGCGTTTCCACGGTCCCCCAAAGAAAAAGGTCCAGAAACAGATTTATACACTTTCGATGAAGGTCATGTTGTCAGACCTTTACCTGCTCGTGAGCCAACAGCTGAACTACCGTAACAAATCATAACACAAATTACTGTAAATGCTAGAAAAGCTGCACCATCTACAGTATATATATATATATATATATATATATATATATATTCATGCCATTTAAATTTTTATTTAAATAAAAATATTAAAACAATTAAAAAACTTATATTAGTAGTAGAATAAATGGTGCAGCTGTTGCTGCTTCACAGCCACAGCCTTAATACACCCCCCCCCCCCCCCCCCCCCCCCCCCCCCCCCCCCCTCCCGTCCCCCCCGGTCCTGAAGTGCTGTGAACTCGTCGGTCCGGTCCGTCCTTTGCTGCAGCTGTTTGCTTCCTGTCCCTGCAGGTGATCACGGTCAGCTGCATCCCCGGCATGGACTCAGACTGGCTGATGGGGGAGAGAGGGACCCAGAAGGGCAAGGTGCCCATCACTTACCTGGAGCTGCTCAACTGAACCCCCTCCCTCCTCCGGCCCCGTGCCCCCCAGCTGTCATCTCGTATTTATACTGCAGGGAAACAAGAGTTTCACACGCAGCACATAGGACCGAATAAATTACAGCAAATGGACCCAACCTCTCATTTCTTTCCAGTAAAACCTCCTTTTCATTTAGCAGAACATTAACTTCTTTCAAAGAGATTGTTTACAAAATGCATCTCAGATCTTTTTATCTGTTTTTTTTCCCTGGGAATTAAAAAAAAGGCACTTCCTTTAGAAGTGAGGAGAGGTGCTGAATATTTTTTAAGTCTTATTTTTAAGTGATGTATTTACCTAAATACCAGTTTCATTTTGAGTTTGTGTCTGAAACTTTACAGGAAAACGTTGACGCTTCTGGATTGTTGGTTTTTTCCTGTTAGTTTGCAGCGACACCACCAGTGTTTGGTCCATTTCTGATCCTCGACCAGAAAACAGCTGCAGCTGTGGTGAAATGAACAAAATGAGCATCTTTAAAGAAAAAAACTATTTATTTATGTGGTTTGGATCAGTTTGCTGTTTACTTTAACTTGCTTTACGTCTTACTAACGCGGCTCCGTTTGACCTGAAAATTCATTTCAGTTTAATATTTGTTGTTTTCTCCAAAGTATTTTCTTGATTTTTAAGATTTATGTCTTTGTTTTGTGCAGCCCATCCAACAGCAACCAAATGTACGATACATGTTCAATATAAAACATTAAAAAGGAAAATAAACGAACATTTTCGTGTGTTCTGATGGGACCAGCAGAAGGTCCGTTGATTCACAAAACTTAATGTGCAAGAAACGCACAAAGGTGAAGAAAATAACGACACAAAGTGATAAAAAAAAATTTTAACATTAAAATGTTTTCCCACAAGTTTACTTTTCAGAGTTTTGTTCTTATGAGTATTCGTCTGTTAGCAAAATATCATGAACCACGGCTCAGAATCATTCGAAGTGGAATCGGTCCGATTCAAGATGGCTGCCACATCTAATCAACACTGGGACCAAAACGTTGCTCAAAGCCTTGTGTTGGGACGATGCTCGGCTACTACCACACCAAAATTCAGCTCAACTTCTGTCAATAATAATAATAATGTCATCACAATGTCAGCACTGTATGTTTCCATACAATGGCGAAATTAGTCTCTGCATTTAACCCATCCACCACCAGGTGGTGCAGTGGGCAGCTATTGAAAGCGCCCGGGGGGGCATTTTAGGGATGAGGTGTGCTGCCCAGAGACACCACGTGATGTGCAGTGACTGGGGATCGGACCTGGGACTTTCGTGTCCCAAGCCAGCTGCCCTGCCTCTACACCATCTCGGCCCCCAATAAATTAGCAGAGTCGCTAGGTGGAGCGTTCGGTTCTGTTGACGGGGAGCGGCGCGGCGCCCCTCTTTTTATAACAGTAGGGCAAACACGGTTCTTTCGCCGTGCACCCACATTTTGATGATGTCGGTTAGGCCTGTCATGATACATTTTGCTGGGCGATTAATTGTCTCAGAAATTATTGCGATAAACGATAATGTTTGGAATTTGACAATAATTGGTAATTGTCAAATTTAAGAAAAAATAAAAAATTTTGTGTGTAGTACCTATTGGCGACCACCGGATAGCAGTTTGAACCTAAGGATGGATAGTGAGGGAGTGAGCAGTGCGTCTTTTTAAGAAAAATGGGAGGGAGGCCCCTTGACGTGACATGGGCTGTGTCTCTTCCTTTTTTCGGTTCTCAAAATAGTGGACGCTCGGTGTGGTTTGAGCTCTTTAGCATAGCATTTGTCAAACGAAGCTTTTAATAAAAAAAAATCAGTCCACAAGTTCTCAGCTTCTTTTTGCAAAGAAAAACAACTTTTTACATGAAGGCACGGGTTGGAGCTTCAACAAGACGGAGGTTTTTTCCCCTGAGGTCGGCCTGTTAGCTTAGCTCGTAGCTTAGCTTCTTTTAACGATCCAAAAATGCGATTTTGGACGGTTAAAATGTATTTGAAAGAGAAAGGGAGGCATCAGTGAAGAACACGAGTTGAGCCTTTTGTCGTCCAGTGTCTTCAGTAGAAAGAGAGAGACGGAGAAACGATAAAACCGATAAATGAAAATGAGGTTGATAATTTTCATTCACCGTGCGATTAATTGATTTATTGTTTATCACGACAGGTCTAATGTCGGTACCGGGAGTCGAACCAGTGACCTTCCAATCACAGGCCCACCTTCTCTGACCTCTTCACCACCACTCCCCACAAAACATTTTTTTTAAACATTTAAAACATTTTAACTACTCTTGTTCCAAAACAGCTGTTTGTTTGTTTGTTTATGAAGTTCTACTAATCCTAAACAGCTCGGGGAATTTTAAATCGCACGCCAAGCGACAGTTTAAGGGACTTGAGGATAAAAGTGGCGAAGCTACAAAAACAGCCAGCTCACGTGTCTCAACTCTTCGGCTTTTCTTTTCAGCCGATTTCGGCTTTGCTTACATTGAACGCATACCCGCGTTTCATAATTACTTGTTGACTTATTTGGAAACCTATTAAAGTAAATTTCAAACGGCACTGCCTGATGTCGTTCAGGACCAAGCTTTTTAAAAATGTGACCTTTTTGTGCCCTCGGAGGAGCAGGAAGAGCTGAGAGGAAACGAGTTTTGCAAACCGGCCGTTGACTAACGAGCCGCCTGCTCGTCTCAACACACGGGAATATTTTCATTTCCAAAAAGACAACTATTAAAGAATTAAACTAAACTGGACTCCTGCGGTTGAAGCAAAACTACAGAATAAAAGTCGGGCTGTTTTGTTTTTGTGCAACTTTTGTTAAGACTCTTCGATGTTACCTTTGACCCTTTGATATTAAAGAAAACGGTCGTTCAGTTGAGCTCCGATCTTTTTTTTTTTTTTCCACCACGTTCTTCTCAGCGAGCTGAAGGCAGCATCAACCGGTTCACGCAGATGATCAGACGAGCGATAGCATGCCTGAGAAAAAGCACTTCCTCTTTCTGCAGTCCATATTTTCTGTAACGTTGACAGCTGCCAAAACTTTTTAACTTCTGCTGTTTCAGCGAAACGGCTTCGGCTCGCCTTTAGCCGCTACAGCCGAAGACGCAGATACGCAAAAAATAAAATTTCACGCTCGCTAATCCTGGAAGGAAGATGAATCTGTAGTCAAGATGTCTAGAAAAACAGCAAAGATCATTACACCCCACCCCCAAGGCCACGAAAGCTGGGAAATCATGTAATTGCATTTGTTAGTAAAATATCTCATGAACCACTGAAGAAAATATCATTCAGCCTTTATTTCTACAGGTTAGTCTCATTGAGTCACGAGGACTCATTTACAAGAGAGACTAAAAAACAAAACCATAAATGAACAATAAACAGCCATAAAAGGCATATAAAATAAAAAGTAAATAAAAGTAGTGATATAAAACTAAATGAAAACAAGCTGCGTTATGAAACGAGGTAAAATACTAAAAACAGGAACATGTCTTCGTTGATTTTTGCATTAAACTTAACAATTGTTTAAAATCCCTTAGAGGTCAAAGTTGAGAGCTTCATATCTTTTTGTAAGATGTTCCAGGAAACGGGAGCGGAGCAGGAGAAGGCCCTTTTGTCAAGTTCAGTTCTCACTGAGGGGACGCTGCAGGTAATGATGTCCTGAGAGCGCACGCTGTAGCTGCACTCATGTAGGTTGAGAAATTAGAAGGCAACAGACCAAGAAGTGATTTAAAGATGAAAATGTACCAGTGAGAGAGCCTGCATGAAGTTAATGACCAGTTAACCAGTGAATACAGGGCGCACTGGTGGGTATGGTAATTACAACCGGTTATGAAGCTTAACGCACCATGATAGACAGCGTCCAACATCTACAGGGTGCTTGTAGTTTATGTAACTATATGTCACAGTATGGCTGGATGGAAAGTAGCAGCTATAAGGCGTTTCCTAACATTCAGAGTTAAGCAAGATCCATTTCTGAAAAATAAACTCATTTTTAATTTCAGTTTCTTTATCAAGTTTTCAGTGCGGCTTAAAAGAGAAGTGCATCGACCCAGATTCCCAAGTATTTGTAAGAATTCACAAACTCAAATGGAACACCATTCGTAGATGAAATAGAAAGGAGGACTGCTGGTACCAACTTCCTGTTTGAAAACAACATCCCTTTGGTTTTATCAGCATTTATCACAAGTTTGAGACGGAACAAATCTGACTGGATGATGTCAAAAGTAGACCGTAAAAGCTGGAAAACCTTAGCAACTGATTTAGCTTGACAATAAACCACTGTATTGTCTGCACAGAAATGCAAGGATGTATCAGGAATGATGTGACCTACGTTACATATGTACTGTATATTGTAAAGAGGGTGGGTCCTAAGACTGAGCCTTGTGGTACACCATTATTGACAGATTGTTCTGAACGCATTGCTTTTGGCCTGAGAGATAAGTAGAAAACCAATCGATAATGTGATCAGAGAAACCAATATCTGACAGTTTATGGCATAAGATGTCATTGGACATTCATCATCACTGGGGGTATGTCTAATGTCTATAGCTTATTAACTTGTGGAGTCAACCCGATTCAAGATGGCTGCCACAACGAATCAGTCTTAACCAAAACTATAATGGCTGCAAGTCTGGCTGTTTTACTGACATTCAGCTAAAATTTGGCGTGGTAGTAGCTGAAAGTCTTCAACACATATTCCAGGTGCTACCAGATTGCTTAATATTTGGTATGAAACTCGGTCACGCCAGGTGTGTTTCGGATGAAGGTATTGTCCACTTTAGATTCAATTGCTCGTTAACACAGCTAAGTAGCCAAGCGTGTCAGAAACTCAGAGCATTCAGGCGTCTCACCGTGGTGAAACTGCTGATCTGCTGGGATTTTAACTCGCAACCATCTGTGGGTTTACAGAGAACGGTCCGTACGAGAGAAAATACCCAGTGAGCGGCAGCTTGAGTGGACCAGAACGCCTCGCTAACGTCCGAGGAGACACGTTAAAGATGACGGAATGAACGAATGAAGCTTTACCGTCTTCATCACGAGTACGACGAAGCTCAAAACCAGGAGTTCTCTGAGTCCACAGCGTGACGTAACATCCACATTTAACCTAAAACAGCACATACGTGTTCAAAACGGTCATGGCTCGGGGAAAGGAACTCGGAATCTGGTGGTCTGGGTCCTGGTGTACCTGGTGTCTGCCTGGAGGCAACAGCTCAATAAGTTGGGAGCTGTCTTTGGTGAAGTTAGTGGATCTGCTGAGACATGAA